CGAATTGAGTACAAATAAAAGGAAGATCGAAATTTCGTATTATCATTTTGAAGTTATATCTGACGAAGTTCGAATATGGGACCACCTACAGCAGAATATGGAAACAAATATGGAATGTAATAAAATAAATAAAGTAAATAAAAATAAAAAAATATTTTGTTTTTCCTATTGATATTTTATGTCCAAAAGTAGTTAGTTACAAGTTAGTTACATCAAATGCAGAGGTAACAACCCTTGACTACATCTAATGCAGAGGTAAACCACCCTTGACTATTTCGCGGCCATCGCCATAGAAATATAGTTAGCTTTCGTCAAAGAAAATATACAGATAATAAATAACTTTTAGCTCCTTTCTAATCAACTTAATGTTAGCTTATAGTTAGATACGTTTCCTGCAGCCTTGCTTAGTGTGGAGGGTAGCGAACATACCTACATGTCACCCATTGCACCTTTCCAAATTTTTTCCTAATCGTAGGTTTCAGTGGTTTATAAACTTCTTGGCCTAATTTTTTTTCAAACTTTAGATATGATTGTATAGTGCCAGGTTGACTGAGCTTTGCCCGGAGTGCATATGCTTTTTAAAGTTTTCAAGATTTGAATAGTTTTAAAAAATATTAAGGAAATAAAAACAAAATTGGATTTCAATATCTATTATGCAATTCCTTACTCCAAAATTTTGGTGGCAACCCTATGTACAGTACATATACTGTATTTATTACGTATACATAAAAAATGTTGATTGAAATTAACAAAATAAAAATTTTTATTACATAGAAGTGTAGCAACCCTGATGGAAAATATTTTCTGAACAAAGTCCTCAATAATACCTTTCATTTGATGTCCATATTACGATGTTTTAGAAAAATTGTGAAGAGTCGAAAATAAGTGGTAACCTTACACTATTATCCAAAGGTATAAAATTTTGCATATATAGGGAAAGCATTGTTTAAGAACCTTCGACAACCCTATGGAAAAGGAAGTATGTAATGGGGAATTTAGTTTTTATTCGTGATGAGGACCATTACTATTTTAGCAGAATCAGCGTATAATGAACTGTCATAGATCATTGTGTATAGTTAAGTTCGCTTAGAGCTTGAGGGCACGTTTACACACTGCAGTTTAGCGCCACATTATATTCGTCCTTTCTTAGTGCTACTTGGTTGCAAATGCTTTAAGCTCCTATTTATATCTGTACATACTTATATACATTTATATACTCATGTACATGAATCCTATTGTTTATGACAATTTGTAAACTATGCTACACCATAACTGGTATCTTTTCACAATTTATTGTAGACTCCATCATTGTTTGCAAAGCTTTTTATGTCAACATTTCAGCAGGTGTTGCACACAGACAATCAAATAAAATAAAATAAACAATCGCAACAAAGTAAGGCAATAAGTACAGTTGAAATGGTTTGCCACCAGCTGCTGCCCGTTGCCAACATTTAACACAACAACACTCGGCAAGTTTTATATTTACTTTGTTAGTAATTTTATAGCTTGTTATATTGTTGTTGTTGGTCGCACACCATAATCACAAATAACAAATAAAGAGTTGCAAATATGTACGTCGTGTCAACCGTTCATTATCCGGTTTGCTTTTATCTTTCTTAGTGCGCATTATTACTGCTGTCCAACCAGCACACAAACCAACTACTAAGTCATTACTTCTTACATCAGCTTGCATGTTTGTCAGTCTGTCAGCTATTTAGTTTGCCGCTTGGCGCTTTCTTCATTCGCTGCTACTTTATTAAATACCATGAAAAATGTGATTTTTCAGTCTGTTGCGTATTTCCGTTTCCGCTTTCGTTACATCGCGCGTACAATTCGCATTCCGCACATTAACTTGAACTTGTTGCTGGTTTTTGTTTTTTTTTTTACCCAACTTCCCGGTAGCTGTTGCCGTCATTGTTTTCAACGTCATTGTTTTAGCCGCTGAGCACCTTTGTTTCAATTTTATTTTTATTTTTTTTTTCATTTCGAATCCTTTGTCTTATTGCTGCTTTGTTTCTGTGTCACTTGGTTGCAAGGTAACTGCTTGTCTGCTCGTTGTTTTGCGACTGACGGTACTAAAATATTTTTCTTTCATCCGCTTTTGTTCACTTAGCTGCTTTAGCGTTCATCTACTGTCCGCCAGTAGCTTTCTCGTAGCTCTGCTAATGCCCATTGTTGTCTTGAGCTACGCATAAAATTGGATCATTATGCGATTGTTGGACTTCTCTGTGTACATAATTACAAATATATTTTCCGATTACAAAAATGCGCATGTTTCCCTTATTGACTTCGATGCCGTTATATTTCAAATTAAGGCAGTTGGTATGCGAGTTCAAATCGTTGATTCCTCTTAGTTAATAAACCACATTCCCCTGGACGCCAATCAAAATCTACATAAATAGTTACGCATATGAGCCGTTTATTTTGAAAGTGGCATAAGTCACCTTTGCAAAAAATCGAGTTAGTGATAACACCAGTTAGAATTTAACGGTATCTGTTAATAAAAAAAATGAATTGAAATGTCGATAACTACTGAGGTTTTGTTCAAGAGAAATTTTACTAATCAGCGGTATACCGAAAATATTTATTTTGAAAGTGCCATAAGTCACTTAAAAAAATCAAGTTAATGATAACATGGATTACACCGAGCAAAAGTAAAAATTGTTCCCAAAAAAATATATACTCCCAAAAGTAGGAGCCAAATATAGGAAAACTTCGTTTATAGTTTCTTTCTCTGACGTCAGAATTTTTATTAAGGACTTAGAAATTTTAGATATTTTATTAGTTCCAACAATTATTTAAAAAATTTGATATTTGATTATTCCCAACAATTATTTAAAAAATGTAATGCTATATGAATAACAATATGAGCACCAAATAAAAGATAAAATTCTGTAGAATTGAAAAATATTAAATTTTTGGTGCACGGGGATGAATAGGTATTGAAAATGTTCTTTTACAATTTTGTACTTGAGTATCCTTGCAAATTTGCGGTATTTATCTTTGAAAAAATAATAGGTTACGGATTAATATAAACGCGACCGTATTCTCGAATTTCGTCCTTCGAATTTAATAGCGTAAAAAAATAAAAGTATTTAAGAGGGCATTTTCAATATCAATTCGTTCTTGTGAACCAAAAATTTTAATATTTTTAAATTCTATAGATTTTTTTTTGTGGTACCCTTTCGTACCGATTTTGGCGGGACAGTACCGATTTTGAGAAAATTTACCCGCTGAATATTTTTTGGAGTTGTTTTTTTTACCACGTTTATATCGGCTCGCTTTCTTGTCTACCCAGATTTCAGTACACACCAGAACATCAACAAAACTATTCTAGACTAGCACCCGCTAGGATTTTTCAATTGATATCTGTATACAAGCTGTTAGGCGGCCTTGTGTTAAATATGCGCATCATTACTACTGCGCCTAAAAATATGCCGCAAGTGAATTGAGTTTAAGCAATGTAATGCTGTCAACGGTAAAGATAAAGTCGCACAAAGCGTTTTTTTTATTATTGTGGATTTAGATAGTAGGCTAGTTCAACACGAGCCCACGGGTGCTTACCTATTTATTCAATCAATAGCTTCCTCACTGAACCACTTACGCATTAGCTCTCTAACTCACTCCGCTACTCACACACTAAATAGCTTACTCTCGCCCTCAATCACTTACTTTCTCACTCACTAACTCTCCAACTCATTCACTATGCTACTCACACACCTATTGACTCAATCATACATTTGCTCTATTATTCACACATCACCTCATTAATTTTTCACTAAAAAACTTTACAATTTCTGCCAAAACTCACTCACTTAATCTATCACTCATTCACTTACTATGTACTCACTCAATTAATATCTTATTTACTCCGCCAATCTCTCTCTCCTTTTCTCGAGTAAGCATATCTTTGTGACCTTTTGCCACTTTAATAAAAATAAATATATTTTAGCATATACATATATTGTCATTAAAATACTTAGAACTTAGAACTAAGGTCTTTGCTTTTTTATAAATTCGAACGAATTTTCAATGAGAGCTAGGCCACGTTTAAAACTATTTATCTTAATTAGAAAAATGGAAATGGTAGGCAAAACAAATTTTTTTAGGGTTTTTATTCTTTTTAATCATTCAAAATTTATATTCCCATATCTTTATTAAAAATCGCTTATTCAAAAAAAGGAGAAATACGTATCCTCTCATTGCATGGGCTTTGAGGCGGTTCTAACTGTATTTTTTTCTTAACAAAAGAATACGGTGTTTTCCATTGAGAAAAATCCTAGGCGTTGAAAGCTGAACATTTTAAACTTTTTGTTCCCGCATGTAGTTTTGGACCGTCCTAATGTACATACGTACACGCCTCAACTTGTAGTTATGTGCACACGGCTGCGCTTCCGTTATCTTATCTCAGCTGTCAAAGCGTTCATTGTTAAGGCTAACAGCTCAACTGTTCTACTTCGCTTTGACATTTCGCCAGAGTTTAGTTTGGCCAAACGCGCGACTTAGACACATGAAAAGCGACAACAGCAAAAACAGCCACAACAACATAAACAGCAAACCATAGCCTAACAACACACTCGGGTGATAATTTTAATTCATATCAACATACATATTTACACATTCGATACCGGTTTGACATTGATATACGACGAGTATGGAGCTTCCCAATTTGTGTTGCTGCCTTGTGCAACTGCGAAAAAAAAAGAAGTGTTAAACATGCAGCAAACTAAAAAGTTGAAAAAAAACTAAAATTAAACAAAAAGTAAACAAATGAAAAATTGTAAATTGAACTAGAAAATTTATGAGCGATTCGACAAACGAGGTGTAGCGCTAGTTTGAGAGAGCGATGAAGTCAGTTGTTGGCTTGCGATTACATCCGCAGGTTGCCGGAACGTCGAGTAGACGACTATTTTCGTTTTCCATTAAAGTAAAATTGTTGTTACTTCATTTTATGGGAGTGCGCGCGGAGTGTTTTGGAAACAGTTGACAATGTGCGCGTGATGAAGGCTAAGACGCGACGCTGGCCACCTATGCTGATACTTACCACCGCGTCACTATTGCTGGCGTGCCTATTCTGCGGCTTGCAGTTCATCGAGTACGAATATGCGGATTTTGACAGCAGAGCAGAGCAGACGCAAGTGAATATTTAGAGACTACTAAATAGTTTTAAAACAGAAAAGCGCCGACTCAAATTTAACGCCATAAAATTCAATTTTTTCACACGCAGGTATTTCCCGCCGCTGTGGTGCGTGTGCGCGTTTCTGATGCATTAGCGGTGCGTGAGTTCATTGCTGCAGCGTCAAATAGCGCACCGGCGCACCCTTGGGAGTTTTATCAATACAATGTGCGACGCAGCAATGCAATTGGCGCCTTTCGCGCCTTACCCGACACACGTGACACCAGGTGTGTTCACTCACACATGCACACCCAACTGCATATGCGCCCGAATTTTAAGCAACAACGCTCACTAAACGCCCCTCATCCCTCTTTTGCTTCATTGCAGTTGCACCACACGCCGATACCACCTGACTGCTGCTCAGCTCGTGCGCTCACGCGTCTCCATAATCATTGCCTTTCATAACGAAGCGCGCTCCGCCCTCATACGTACCATTATGACGCTGTATCTGCGCACACCACCCCGCCATCTATACGAGCTGATACTGATCGATGACTGCAGTGAAGATAGTGCGTATACGCCCTGGCAGCGCATGTACATAAATGCCAATGTCGCATTGGCGCTATTTTGATTGAAATCACGCGCGTATTTGCAAATTTACTTGAAATTCCACAAGAAAAAAAAAACCAACAGCAACGCATTAGTTTATTTTCTTTTCCATTTTTCGTTCCATAGTTGAATTGTTGCCTGCACTGCTTCGCCTCCAGCTGCCACCATTTATGCGCGATTTTTCATCCTCAGCGACCGCGAAATCTTCTCGCACGCACACCAGGTCAGCGCCGTCTGCCGCCTCACCGCAAGTTACAATTAAAACAGCGCGTAATAAGCAGCGCTCGGGTGTGATTGCATCACGTATTCGTGGCGCCCGTCTTGCCACCGGCGACTATTTACTCTTTCTCGACAGTCATTGTGAGGTTAATATTGGTTGGCTGGAGCCACTGCTGGAGCGCGCGGCTGAGGCCGCCGGCGATGGCGTGATTGCCGTCAGTCCCGTGCTGGACGGCATTGATACCGAGTCATTGGCGTATACGGCGAGTTCCAACCATCTCATGGGTGGTTTCGATTGGAATTTACATTTTCATTGGATACGGCGACCACAATCAACACAATCACTGCAACAACAACAGCGACAACAACATTTCGCTCAAAATGTCAACGCAAAAACCGCATATTTACGAGATTCTGGTCGGGAGGACAAGCTATTTGGTGAAGCGCGAATGCGACGCAACACAAATACCGCCGCAATGGCATTCAAGTAATTTTCCCTCACCACTCATCCCATACTTTGCGAACTTTAAAAAAAAAAGTCACCTATTTACCAGTATTTTATAGGGCTGCTTTCCTTTTCGTCAATTTCTAATACCGCATTCTACCATATTTATTTCTCAAATTTGCAGTAAATAAGCGAGTACCAAAGCTACCAGACGGCATAAACGAAATTTAATCTCGGCTCTGCGCTATTAAATTATGCTGAATTTGTGATGTTAGTTTTTTTCGATTTTGTGTGGTTAGTTAGTTTTACTGCACGCTGTATTGTGCCTCCGGGATATTTAAAATACCTTTCGGACGGTATCGTGCGTTGCCTGTGAAATCTGAATCTTTTTTTACTAGTCAATACTGTACTTCTTATATTTATTGTAAAGGGCTTTTAGGGCCCAATGAAAAAATACTTGCCGTTTTTTATCTTCGAACTGCTCGTCTACAGCCACTGAGGATGGTTGATTTCTTATAATTCAGGCTCAGCCAGGACACGCTTTGAAAATCGCGCACAGATGCATTGTCTTGCAAAAGCAGGGCTTCTTTGGCCAGTTTGCCTATAGCATAATAGTCCCCGTATCTCTGCCACTGTCCCGCTCAGACTATGTTGGTCAATGATTACGGCGTGCCTGCGTGACTCTAAGCTCTCGCACGTATCGCCGATCCAGTCCTGTTTAACATTACCTGGTCAACTATAGGAGATTTTTTTTTTGTTGATTTTGGTTTAGTTTTGTTTTTGTTCACTTCCAAACCCCGAATGCTAAAAAAATATGTATTGATTTTTGATCTCAGCAACCAATTTTAGAGGGGGATTGATAAATTTCGATTTTATATTTCTTAAGTCTCATTTTAATTTGTAGGTACGTCTCTTTGATACAAAATCAGATGATTTAACATTCTAAGATTTTTTTTTTCCGCGATCAAAATGAAATTTTAACTACATTTTAACACACATTTCTTAACCTTCAAGGCTTAATAATTTTGTATATTTTTAATTTCCTTTTACATATTTAATTTACAGAAGCCCAACTGTTGCCGGAGGAATTTTCATGATCACTCGTGATTGGTTTTTTAAATTGAATGGTTTCAATCCATTGCTGGAGGTAATAACTAATTTTATTTACAGAATTTCAAGCTGACAGTGACTGGCCCAATTTCTGTTCTGTTAATTTTTTTTTTACATACCCATACATACTTTTATGTTTCACAAATTTTATGACTGTCGCAAAGCTGTTTTAGCCCCATAAATTAAAGTTATTTCTTAAACAAGTATAAGTTTTAATGCACATATTCGTTTAAAGTCACACGCATTAGAGGCAAAATCATACAATGAACGAACTCGTAGGCTCAATACAAAATCGATTTTATTTCTCTGTTAGCTTATTTCCACGCTGCCTACGTAACATTCAATGTAACATATTTATACTTACTTATAGGTATGCACACATATGAACTCCCAAGGCTTGAAATATTTTTCTTCTTTTGTTCGTATGTATGTACATATCTTCAAATGAATGGGCTACAAGTGCACATATGTACATACAAACATTATTTCTCATATCTTCTTTTATTCTTTTTTATAGACTTGGGGTGGCGAGTCCATTGAATTCTCCATTAAATTGTGGCTTTGTGGCGGTCAAATCGAGATTGTGCCATGCAGCCGAGTCGGACATATTTTTCGCAAAGAGCATCCATTTCGTTTTCCCAATGGCAGTGATAGTCAGACAACGTATCTAAGGTAAGCGACGGCCTCGGGAGAGAACCCGTAATTTGAGTAGGCAATGTAGCGATAAGGTTTGAACAAAACAAATAGGGATTTGCGAAGTGATATGTTTATGTACGTATGTATACATTCGCATATCTATAGCCGATTGTGCATAGAAACTTAAATTCATTTGCACCTAAAAACAATTTAGGAAGTATTAAAGCAATATTCAGCTGGAATGTTCGAATATTCAGACTTTTATTAGAAATAACACCCAAAATGTTTAAACAACTTTCCACTTTCCATTCGATAGGAATTCAAAAATCATCGCCGAGTCTTGGCTGGACGCTTACAAATACTTTTTCTACGCTTCCAAGCCGGCAGCCAAGCATATCTCCGTTAACCAGACCGACATACAGCTCAGCTATCAACTAAAAAGTGCACTCAATTGCCGGCCATTCTCCTGGTATTTGCTGCATGTTTTCCCACAACTCAAGTGCGTAAGCCAAATCCTTCTCTCAACACGTCACACTTTAGTACAGATATGTATGTATGTATATTCGCACAAGCAACACTGTGTTTTCATTTGTTTCAGTAAGCATTGCTCATCACCATTTTCTTCCATCAAAACTCGTCAGTAATCTGCTTTTTCATCTCAATCGTGCTCTATCGATGCGTTTGTGTGCGTGTGCGCTAAAATGTTTGCAAGTTTGCATTTCACTGCTTTCAGGCTACCCAATGATGACTTCATCGCATTTGGCACTCTAAGCTGCGCCGAGCTTTGCTTGCAAATCACCAATCGTGCCACCAACATCGATATCGACATCGACATTGTCAGTCAAGTGCATATGAGTAGCTGCTTCCATAGTGATGTGACGCATTGGTATCTGCATCGACAACATTCCCAATTGCGTGCGAGTTCCGGTGCGTGTCTCAATGTGGAGCGAATGCCAAATCGCACGAATTCGTGGAGGCGTCCGACTCGCACATCCAATTTTCGTGTAGTGCTGCAGCCTTGCAGCGATGGTGAGGATGTTGGCGAAAATGTTGGCCATTATCAAAAGCAAAATCAACGTTGGCTTCGACGTGGCGGTTGGCTGGTGCACCAGCAGACGCAACTATGTCTCGATAATCCGCTAAGCGATGTGGTGGTCGTCAGTCATTGCCGTTATGCAGCACCAACGCAACTGTTTCGTTTCGCCCTGGAGCTGCAACGATTGTAGAATGAATGTATGGCGCGCGCGGCAGGTAAAGAAGGAACGGCACTGAAGTAGGTAGGTGTTCAACCGAAGATCAAAATGTGAATGTTGTTGGAGATGGATATTGACTTGAAATGCAAAACGACAACACTGGCACTGCTGAGGATACGAAAGTATTTTGATAGATGCAGAAATGAACTAGAAGCTTTGCAAGTCGGATTAAATTTGTATCGATGTGGTTTTAAAGACTAAAGCACAGTTGGACTAAATTAACTTAGATATAAACGAAGTGATCTTATATTTGTATTTAGGTATATAGGTTTAAAAACTAAATCAATAACATGAACAAATGTTGAAACTTAAAATAAATACTAGCTGTACCCTGCCACGTTTTGCTGTGGCATATTCCTGTTATATGGATGATAAATTATTAACGTATCAAGGCATATGTTTTATATGTATTTGGTTATGTAATAAGTACTTGTGTGCACACAATATTTGTTGTTTTTCCATTCTCTGCATAGATATCAAGGATATGTAGTTTGCCGACACAGGAACACTCAACATCTGAGAAGCAATCCGCATCTAAAACTAAGCTATTCTTTTCCAAAGTTCGACCTGGAGCATTACTGATTGTGATTTCTAATGTCAATCGAATTGGGAATTGTAATCTTTTAAATTGAAATGGTGTATCGGTCGGAATTATGGGAATTCTTCGCCTTTGAAAGGCCACGTTAAAATCTTTACTTACACTACTTTCTTCATCAATTTCTTAACTGCGAGCTGCTTGCCGTTGACATCAATAAATCTAAAGACTGGTTAGATGGTGAACAAATAATGATCGAACGAATTTTCACTTGGTATTATGACGCTCGTTCGATGAAGAATATCATTGTTGTGGACTTCGCTCATTTAGGTGGTTCACAATAGTATACTTCTCACCACTAAGTTATAAAAACATGGTAAAAATGGGTACAACGGAGTTCAGGTCTATGATTCGTCATATGAAAAGGGTTGGCTTATTAAAAACTTCCGACTTTCTAAAGGGGTGTTTGTAGACCTTCCGTCCGCTACACAAAAACCTGCTGCAGCAATTCTCCCGAGCCAAATCGTATATATAAAAATAAGTGCACGTTTTCAGTGTGACCTCATAACTTGAGAACGGCTTCACCGAATCCAACCAAATTTATGTGGCATATTCATGCAGATGGTTTATGTGTAGTTTGCCCTAATTCGTAAAAGGGGGTGTGGCACCTCCCATACTAACTAAAATTTTTGTATTGTATATCTCTTGAAATATTTGTGGTAGAGTACTGGAAATTGGTATATCAAATAATTCCACACTCATGGAGGATAGTGGGCGGTATTGGAAAAGTGGGCGTGGCACCTCCCATCTTATATATAAAGAATAAATGCAAGATTTCAACCAATATTTATACGGCATAGTTGGGTTATTATGCAGATGGTTTGTGTTAAGTTTCCTCGAATTCGGAAAAGGGGGCGTGGCACCACCCATACTAACAAAAATTTTCATCTGGTATATCTCTTGAAATATTTGTGGTAGATTACTCAAAATTGGTATAGAGACATACGAAATAATTCCATAATCATGTAGAAAAGTGTGCGGTATTGGAAAAGGGGGCGTGGCACCTCCCATCTTAAATAAAAAAATAAGTGCACGAATTCTACCAAATTTAAACGGTATATTCGGACTATCATGCAGATGGGTTATATGAAGTGTGCCCGAATTCGGTCCAGCGGTTAATGATATATGACAGTTTATGGCTGTCACATGAACCACGTATATGGTACAACAGCAGATACATGAAAAATCGAAAGCATAGTAAAAAATTGTTGCTATGATGTGCTGTGTTTATTTTTTCTTCGGATAAATTAGGTCAAGTATAAACATGGCGCAATATAGTAAAAAAAAAATGTCATATAGAAAAATTCCAGGATTTTTCAATAATTTTTCAATATTTGGTGTAGAGAAGCACACCGGGATACCGCTAGTATATTTATAATATTTTAAAACTATCAACAGCTCTACGCTTTTGTTCTTAGTTTTTTTTATGAGTGCAACCAGCCTTTCGAGCTTGTGTTTAGTATTCACGATGTTAGACCTGCATGCAAGTACATCTACTATGATTAATATTAGAGTGCACTGACAATACAGCTAAAGACCTTGAAGTGCTGAAATCTTGTCTATCATATCTCTGTAATAACCCTAATATATTATAATAAATCCCTTGTCTTTATTATACTCACTCATTTTCTTGCACAACAAGTCAAATTTCAAGGATCATTGACAGCCTGACGACCGCGTCTGCATGTGGCAATTTATTATATGGGCTCATCTTAATCAGATAACTACTTCATCACACTCGTATCCGACCAAAAGCCGCAAGCGCACAAACCAACACGCAAGCCATACACCAAGTGGGTCATATATAAGGTGACCAGATTTATGTGGCCTAAAAGCGGGACATTTCTAAAGCATCGAATCCGAACATACAATTTTATTTTTAGAATAAAAATGCGTAATATCACAATAAAAAAAAAACCATTACATTACATAATACATTTTTACTTAAAACAAAAAAAAACTGAAAAATTATCGGAAAAATATTTACGCACAACGTGTGTAAGCTTTTAGGCTACAAAAGCACCATCAGTTTTAGGGGCTTCAGGGGTTTCAGGGCTTATCGTTGATTTTTGGTAATTTTTTGTTCGTGCATTTTCTTCCATCCAAATTGATTTCAAAAATTTTGTGTATGCAGAAAATGAGCAACACCTTCCACAAAAAAAAAATATATAAAAAATCAACGGTATGTTCTAGCTACTTAAAATTTGCATTTTGCATTTAATGGGCTGCAAAACGGCATACTCAGAATGTTTCTTATAAATCTAAATTAACAACCTTAAATTTTTGACAAACTTTTGTCGAATTTTACTAATTTTTGTACAAAGCTGGAAATTTTGACTGGATACACTTTCATAAAAAATATTAAACAATAAATAACCGAAAGGGAGATAGCCAAAGATGGCATCTGTTCCTTACTTATACTTCGCCAAGAAAACGCTGAAAATCTGGATTTAATCGTTACAAATATGTAAAATCGGGATACTTATACGCCCCGCTTTTAAAAAATATTCAGCGGGACAATTTTCTCAAAAGCGGTACTAACCCGCCAAAATCGATACGAATGGTCACCGTAATCATACACATACTTTTGTATGCATGTGTGGGTAGGTACATGGTTGCGGCACAGCAATCTCAGTTTCACCAAAAGTTGCAAAACTTGCGCAAACTTGTATACTTACGAGTAGTTAAAAGACATTGTCAAATGCGACCACTGAAATTCAGCCAAAAACCAAAACTTACGGTAACCCATTCACTTAGCCAAAGTCAGTTTGAGCCTTTTGTTGAAGGAAGGCGACTTCTTCTTCTTCTTTTGGGAAAGAAGTGCGCTCAACCCGATTGTGTGTGTAGGAATGAAACTCTGCTAATGATGTGTGAAATTATTTGGTTAGTTTATGAAAATTGTGCGCTTTAGGTAGAATATCTACACACATACATATATACTTAATTGCATGTATAATATTCAAAGTATATGTTGGAAAGAATAAAGAAAGTTCTTTAACATTTTATAGGTGAATACTTTCCTTCCCTTTGGTAAAATATTCATTTTAGCTTAACACACACGCCGTTGCTGTTTTCTATAATTGCGAATTTGTGTTTTTATCAAATTTTGAATATTTTGCTTTCACATTTGCTTGACTTACCGCCGTTTGACTTGCTCCTGTCTGAATATCTATTCCACATGGCGAGTTCCGATGATAACCAAACATATTTTACAAGCTTACTCTACAATATGGACTTCTTTATTTTCTTATTTTTTTACTCATTCCTGTCTATCTTTTCTATTTTTTTTTTTGTTTGTCCTGAAGTGTGATAAATTTGCAACGACATGTCAATTACGCTGTGCTTCATTGCGTGCATTTTCAACATTACTTACCCGTATATATTGGCAGCGAAATTGCCTTAGACGTATATACGTACATGCATACATACGTATGCATGTGTTTATGTGCGCCTAGCTGTGAATAACCTTTTTTATTTGATTGAGTGCTTGGCGCTTTAATCAAAGTATCATTTGAAAGTATTAAACTGGGACAAATGAGGCATGTATGCTTATTATGATCGCTTGATTACACGAGAGTCAATCTGAGTAATTTGAGTGTGTGGAATTTGTGGGATTAAGAAATATTCTTTTATTTATATTAATATTTACTAGTTGCATATATGTATGTATGTAGGATGAACGGCTTATATGCTATTTGCAGCTAATGACAAAGAAGCTATTTTTCGCCAAGCACAAGGTTGAATAAGGGGCGCTTTGAAAGGGACTAATAAATAGTGTCCATTGTTGGAGGTTGGCGAGTTATGTAGATATGGGTTCGAAACTAAAAAAAAAAAAAAACACAGAAATGAAAAACTAAGATTATTCAGAATTTTCTTTTCCACATTATATCTGAACACTCTTTTATTACGTTTTACGTTCTTGTTTGAGTTTGGAGGACATTGAAGAACTAGTTCTAAGTGACCTAGTGATAAATAATAGATTCAGAAATTTGTCCCTAATATCATATCCGAAAAGTACCAGCGAATGTGATCAGACTGAATTTAAATAAATTGAAAACTAATAATTTTTTCGAGCCGAACTCTAAGAACATAGACTCCAGTATTACCGCCGATATGTTCAACTCTACTAATCAAAAATAAAAAATATTCGGCTGTGGACAAAGAAATTCGCGACATAAATGATTTAGAAAGTACTATGCTACGACTACATAATCACTTTGGCATAATAAATTGTTACTCCTTTCCTATTAGATTTGATCAAATGCTTAGATAGTCGCACATGAATCGGATAATTACCAAAGTGTCAGAATCTTTTTTTTTTTTTTTTTTTGAAGGAGTCATGTTGAACTGTATCAATATACCCGATCGACATGGCGTATGAGTAACATCACATATTTCCTGGTCATATCTCATATCGTAGGTGATACTGCAAAACGATTTATGTAAGTTTTTAAACCTGGTGCTTAAATGATCCGCTATCTGATAGTTTTTATAAATCATTCATCTTTTTCAGCCAAAGGGATACAGCTTGTCAGTAGGTAATACCGGTCTAAGGCTGCACTGATAAGGCCCAATCGGTTCGTTGTCCGTGGGCCTGACCCATGCATACAACGGCGTCCGATAAGATTTTATAGCCGATTCTCAAAAAACGTTTTCCTCGGTATTTGGTGCATATGGCGCGGTGACTGTTTTTGTGAATTGGACAGA